ATTTTTCCATACAACTTTGTGCCATGCGTCATTTCGATTAGGAGTGACGTTTTCGAGCTACGATTTATTGAAAAATGTCACATACGCCATTTTTAACAAATTTGCAAGACTCAAAATGACCGAATTTTAGCACAAATGTGAATGATTGCTCATAACAAACAATTATGAAAGTTTCATGCAATCGGAGAAGGACGAGTCAAACATTGAGTTCTGTTTGCTCTTTAGTCTGGAATTGCTCGACTCATACATCAAAACCTCTGAACTAGTCTCAACAGATCCCACTAGTCCCAGATGTTCCCAACGAGACCCATGATCTCAATGACTAGCAAGACCCCAAGAGCCCTCTGGACTTACCCCATAATGCATCTGAACATGTTTCACACGTCTATTGAACTTGTCCCATAAGACCTCTGGAGTTGATCTACAAGGTCGATTTAGTTTATCTGTGTGGTTTGTATGATCCATAAGGCTTCCATGCAAACAAACAAATCGATGAAGATGATTCATGAAAACATAGGAATTGCAAATTAACCTATGAGGCTTCTGCAAGATCTCCGTAGTTACATAGGTACATTAGGTTTTCAAAGTCGATCTATAAAATCTCTGAAGCTAACACATAAGGCCTCTAAAGCTAACTTATAAGCCAAAGTTGAAACAACAGATCGCTAGAGTTTGCTCGAATAAGCAGATAGTCAATAAGATCTCTGAATATAATATACAAGGCTTCGATCCAAATATTCCTTTGCAAACCAAAGATGATGATAATAATGCTCTTGAATCTCTGACTACTTCTATAGTTGAAGCAAGAGCTGCCTCAGTACCAAAATGCGAGGTTAAATTCGATTCAATTATAATAGGCGACGATCTTCAGCTCTTGATCCGTTTGAAAAATGTCCGTAGGAGGCAATATCAAAGAACACGCGATCCTGCCATGAAAGTTATCTGGTGGGATTTGCAAAAACAAATTAAAGCGTGATTCTCTGCCTTGAGGAACAAAACCTTGTGGAAGCCCACAAAAAATAAAAAATAAAAACCCTCAAAAGCCTATTCCAACGCTTAAAGAAGGTGGTCAAATTTAGATCACAAATTCGGTAAAAAGATCAGAAGCTTGCTAAGCAATTCGAGAGTTCCCATAATTTCAGTTTGGGTCTTACTAGACCTATTGAGAAGCAGGTTGCTCGGGATTATCTGAATATTTTCTCCCGGGAAAATATTTTTGATGATTACTGGGGGACTGATTTGGGGACTAAAAAGTTTCAAGATATGAAAGCTCCAGATGATGGTGGAATTTTCTATATTCTCATAAAAAAAAAACTCTCACAAAGTACTTAGTCTTTCTTGGTAAACTATTTAACAGATGTTCCAATATGACATACTTTCCTGATAAATGGAAAAATGCAAAAGTTGTTCCGATTTTGAAGCCGGATAAAAATCCAACAGAAGCTTCTAGTTACCGTCCAATAAGTTTGCTTTCTTCAATAAATAAACTTCGCTTCGCATCAATACGAACTCGATTTTTGCAGATGAGCAGTTTGGATTTCGCCATGGGCATTCAATTACTCATCAACTCTTAAGAGTTACCAATATAATTCGTTCAAACAAATGTGAAGGCTGATCAATTGAAGTTGCTCTTCTAGGCATACAAAAGACATTCGACAATGTTTGACATAAAGGTTTGATTGCAAAATTGAACAAGTTTAATTTTCCACTCTATATTATGAATTTAGTTCAAAATTATTTAACTGACCAAATCTGATCGACTACCTGTTAAAGCTGGAGTTCCTCAGGGTAGCATTCTTGGGCCTATATTGTATAACATTTTCAGTTCGGACCTCCCGGATTTGCCTCAGGGTTGCCACAAATCTTTGTTCGCTGATGACACAGGCATTTCCGCTGAAGGAAGAAGTCTTCGTGTTATTTGCAGTAGACTGCAGAAAAATTGAGATATTTTCTGATAAATTGATTCATCTGAGATGCTGCAAAACCTGATCTTCAGTTGAAAAATTTAATTTTTTATCCTGTTTGGCGCACAGGAATATTTTTGTTGAGAAAAATGGAAAAATAGAATAATGCTTTAGTGGTTATGATCTTCCGGATTTCTTATGTGTGACTGGTTTAGATGCAAATCAGATCTGTGGAAAATTGTTGAATAAGACAATTACCGATGGAAATTGGTAAAATGTTCAATGACAAATTCTTTAATTTGCGTGTGTAAAATCTTTATTCTGATGGTGTCAAACGGTGTGGTTGACGTTTCCTCTCAAACTCACCTGGCGCCACGGGACTGACATCAAATGTTTCCACTATAGGATTTCACAAATTTGACAATACCCTCTTAACTGGTCTATAAATTTATGGCCCATAGCAAACTTGAACAACACATACAAACCAACCAGTGGAAACAAACGATTTTAAATTGGCTCCCTACTTGGCTAGCCTATTGGCATAGAGGTAACTCTAAGACTAGTAGGTCCCGAAGAAACGTGTTCAACTTTTTGGCTCAGCTCTGGTACTATTTTCGGTCCCAAGCTTATCGATGCACATCTCGAAGCATGGGAAAATCCACGAATTCCTTATTTTATCTGTCAAACTTTCATAGAGAATCAAAACAAACATAGTGTAGTACCAGAATTTTAACTAGAATGGGGTACGTTAATCGATTTGCTTAGGACCAATAGGCTAGTCAAGTAGTGAGCCAATTTCAAATCGATAGTTTCGTATTGATTGTTGCTATTGGTCACAAGTACATCTATAAGCGTACCCCATTCTAGTCTAAATTCTAGTACCACACTATGTTTGTTTTGATTAGCTATGAAAGTTTGGCAGATAAAATGAGGGTTCGGGGTTCGTGGATTTTCCTATGTTTCGAGGGGTGCATCGATTAGCTTGGAACCGAAGATAGTACCAGAGCTGAGCCAAAACTTTGAGCACGTTTCTTCGGGACCTTCTGGTCTTAGAGTTACCTCTATGGTGTTATGCCTTGTTCAAACTACAGAGTTATAACAACCGGTGGAAACTAACGATTTTAAATTGGCTCACTACTTGATTAGCCTATTGGTCGCAAGCAAATCGATTGACGTACCCCATTCTAGTAGTTTCCACCGGTTGATACACTGCTAACGTACCGCAATAATAGGATTGTTTCCCCTATAGACCTTTCTGACGTTTATAACACGCACACTTGCGTAATTCCATTTTCAAGTGTGAAGTTTGTTATCCTCACTTTCGCTTCAGCCAAAAATGTTGGTTGTTATTGTTATCCTCACTTTCGGAACATCAATACTCGTGCGCATTGAATGGACTATGGATAGATTTGTCTGTCATAGAATACAGGATAATTAGTGCTCTAGATCACACTGTTGGTAGTAGCAATACGGATAGGAGCCTAGCTAGACAATACTCGTCGAAACTACGGGAACTATTGGCATAGAAATACACACGCACGCACCAGCGCGCACACTTACTTCCCAGATTGGCATCCGCATTCCGAACCAACGGGCAAGTCAGTCCGGTCAGATAGATGATGACAGCGTCCAGAAAGGAGCTGTGCGGCGAAACCACCAGAACCGGGGCTTCCGAACGGGTGGCCTTCCGTCCGCGGATCGCAATGCCGAGACCCGCAAACGAGTACATTGCAATCGCACACTGGCTCAGTAGTTGTTTTATTCGTCTGTTTTACATACACGGGTTCATGTCCATGTTGATGGTTGACGTTCAGGTCGTCCAGGTCCGGTTGGTTGGTGGATGGTCCAAGATGAAGTATGACGTGTTTTGGTTTATTATTATTTTATCATGGTGCATAATTGGATTTCGAGGTTAATTTCGATTTCAGAAGGATGGAAAATTAGAAAGAAAGAAAAAGAATAAGAACAGTGATCATGATTGAGCAGACAATGGTATTCATGGGGATAGATTTTGATCAGAAGTAATGGATACATTCAGAAGCGGGAAACTCTGCAAAGCTTGCTGGGAAGGAACGGAAGGAATTGGTATTTGTACAGAGGTAGAAAGTATTATGTTTCTTTAAAGGGAATGTTAAGAAATAAAACAAATAAACGCAATTGATACAATGAAAGAAAGTTTTACGTAATTGGAACAACAAAGGGGAAATTTGCAACGAATCGGGAAAAAAAAGGCCAATAGATGGAAGGAAAGACTCGCGAATCAGCGGTATTTACAGATATGCAAATGATTTGCAGAGGAAGCCGAGAATAGGAGAAAATACTTTGTCTTTTCAGGGTAACCTGATAAGGACGATGCAAATAGAAAAGTAGGAGAAGTGAAATTGCAATAAATCACAATGACTAACGGAATGTTAGTAGTGCTATGCAATCCTGTTTGCGAGGTATGTATGCAATGGAAAGTGTATGCTCGTATGTCCGCAATGTTCTCGTTCTAGTTACGTATATGATGGCTTCGATATGTGGTGTTGGGTGGGGATAGCGTCGTTTCATAATTGAGGAAATCGTGGTACGGGTCAGTTGTGCAATTTAATGCAGTTATACCGCTTCTTCCTGCTCAATAATGAGGTCGTTAACAGGCTACTAGAGATCATAAAAGTCAAAAAATTGCTGTGTTCTTTCAGTGGAAAGTAGTCGTTTTAGTCAACCTTCGTCACAGTTTTAGTGTACATGCACCGTTCCATACTCCAGTCAGTCACCATCAGGTCCGTCTTAAACTAGTATCAAAATAAATAAACTCAAAATAATAACTGTACCTCATAGATTAGTCACACTGGCGATCGTTGGTAATTGTTTATATGTACAGGATGATCATTCCGAATGGATGATCGTCAATCGCTTTACCAAAATATATACAATGATAAGTACCATAATTTCATAAATAATGTCTGTAATTGATCGTGTATCATCGTGATGACCGGTAGTTCGAACATTACTCGCTCAATTTCATCCTAAAATGACCTAAAATTGCCCACCGTTCGTTCTGTAATATTTTCCACCTAAGAGCTAACGCTATCAAAGCGCGCAGCAGCAACCTACTTCCAAAGAATGGGAGCGAAGCGGTTTCGTACTTGGCCACCACTGCCGACGGCCCGAACAGGATCACGCAAATCGAATCGTAGAACGCGGTGTGTGGCGCCACGCAAATCACCGGAGCCTCCTTTGGCGATGCCCGTTCGCCCTTTGTCCGGATGAGGTTGAACGAACCGAACAGGAACAGTGCTCGCATCACTACCGCGGTTACGTGGCGTAGCTCTCTAGAATGGGGATAGATAGCGATAACATTGCACAACATTAGGGGAGCTTGGTGGAGCTTGGTTTTGATGATTGGTAATGAGCGACTTAATCCTAATCGAATGAGTTGCTTATTTTATCCATTGATTGTTTTGTGTACAACTCATACTTTAGTCATGTCTAGTTTCCTGAAGCACAGTTGGGTATAATTAGGTTTTCTGAAAAAAAGCTGTCTGACATCGGGTGAAGATTGTGATGCGGTGGCATATTTCTAAGCTTAAATTAACATTAACCTGATCTAATTCACATAAAATTTATCAGCAGACGTATTTATATCAGAACTACTATTCAATCTTGGTTAATTCAACTGTTTGATCCTACGTATAACTTGGAAATGTATCTCCTACTATGGCAACTATTTTAAATTCCAAATATGGGAAAGATTTACTCAAGTGTATCGAAAACAGGTTAGCATTCGTCGTAATTGATTAATTAACTGCTAAAAAAGTAAGCTAACTTAGCATAATAAAGCATACTCGCTCTTAGTGGTATTTACCTGTGACATTGTGTTTAGTACGCTTTGAAGAATATGTAAAGCCTGGTTAAAAGTCGCATTCTGCGAGATTTAAGCTGACTTTGGCGTGAAAGGAATGGATGCTAACCAATACGCCGGGGCCGTCCCCGAGCAAATATAGTATGCGAAAAAGTTTAAGCGAAATTCGAAGGATGTATTTTGACGGATGGTGAAACATACATCAAAATAAATTATCTGGCAACTGGTTGTGAGGAGGTCCCCTCAAAATAAAAAAATAATTTTTGCAAAGAAACTTATTATTTATGATTTGGCAAGAAATCTGAAGCTTTTGACTCAAAACCAAGGTTTTCATCGCATATTGCACTATAACGTCGAATAACTACATGCAAAGAGTTCGCAAAATAGGATTTTACCGTTCATAAGACAGCACAAGTGCGAAGTTATGTGTTAGCGTGTGATATAGCCAGTTGGGGGGCCATGCATTAATTATTCCCCCTTGAAGCGTGACATAATAGATGCATTACCCCTTGTCACTACCGAAAACCAGTGCTAGAATAGTGATTGGTGATGTCTATTTGAAAGCTTGCTGAAAACATAACTTGGACGCATTTAAATGCTGCATAAAGGAATAAGATAAACGTTTTGGCAGTCTTGAAAGCAGATCACGAGGGATTCCCCTGGTGTTTGTGCAAAATGAATTTTCTTATTTCATGTATCATGGCCTACAACTTTGAAACGCATTGATCAAGATATATCGAAACTGTGTTATCTGAAAAAAAAAACAAAAAAAAAAACAGAAATACAGTCATTTCTTCGATTTCCTATGGGATTTTTGTCCTATAACTCAATAGTTCAAACACTCGATGGTCCGATATCGAATTGTGGAGAGTTCACTGGATTTAGTATATTAATTGAAAAATCTTTAATCGTTTTTCCTAAAAATTACCAGTAATATGAAAGTTTCCGCTATTTTCGTGATTGAATATTTAAATCCGCGACAAACCCGCGAAAATCGCGAAATCCACACCTGTTGTAACAGTCCTGTAAGTGTTTTAGTGTTTCTCTCTGTTTATCCTTAATGAAGGATATAATTTCATACTTAACGTTCGTGATTCATCATTCACGTTCAGATTCGAGTAGAAGAAATGTAACAAATTTACAAAATAACCGAGAGATTCCAGATCTGAGAGGGCATAGTATATAAGGTCTAAACATACAAATTCACCCTTCCAAGGACTAGTGGAATCGTAGCTTAATAGAATAGAAAATTAGGCAGAAGTACGATCTTGAAAGGGATATGTAAAATCCTGGACGAACCAAATAAAAGTTTTACATAATTATAAGTTGCTAATGCAACGCGTAGACGTAAGATCACTTTGTACAAATCAGTGTTGGCAAAATCATCAATCAAATAATAATTTTCCGCTCTCATAAGCTCTCAATATCACGTGTGACATGTATGTATGTATGTAAGGTAGCCACCATCCCTTCGAAGATCTTGTCTTGTATGCAGCTCCACTTAATAGCAAGATCAATTTGAGCTACCGATCTGAATTCACAATATCGCTGTATGAAGGGCCAAAAACGGTGGGGTGGACCCGTAAGCAGAGACACTTACGCGAAATCCACGGGAATTTAAGAATCTCCTTCCAACGATACGATTCAACAAATCGAATAACGCAATTCGCAATACTTATTAAGCTTCCTACAGGATGGTTTGTTAAGAAGGGCGCGTCAATCTCACTGAAACTGTTGGAGTAGAATTCACACCATCACAATCGAATCGGTAGGATAAAGAAAATGATAGTGTTTATTCCCTCCTAGACTCCGGTTGTCATACCACTCCAATCGTCCAGTTTCAGGTCAAATGATACCCTGATGCTCCCTCCCAACCCAGTATTTATTTATATATATAGTAAACATATGTAATGGAGAAATGAAATATATCAGAACATTAAAATACGTAATAATGAAAATACATTTATATGGATAAAAAAAGCTCTCAATATCACGTGTGACATTTGAACAAAATATAATGCTTGATATTGATTTTACATGCTCCTTTGATATTGCAGACTATTCACTACTTGCAAAAATCAAGCTGAGAGTTCACTCGACACAAACATTATTCCGTTCCACATCGTTTTCTTAGAAAGAGAAAGTATAGTTTGCTATCTCTTTTTAATGTTCACCGATGGCAAACACGAAGGGACTGCTGCCAGCCGTGATGGAAGTTTCGGCTCCATTCGGGTGTAAAGCAAAAATCATTAAACTCAATCTCACCGCAGTTTGGTGAGATTTGCAGTTGTTGAATTTTGTTAGCTTGATATTCCGAGCCGCGATATCACAGCTTGCAAAATCAACCGCAGATGTTTGCTTGTTAATTTTTGTCTACGAAAATCAAGCGTGATCTTGGGCATTGGTGAGATTTGGTTTTTTGATATTTTTCCAACACTGGTACAAATTATGGGGATACAATTAAGTTCGAAGCTTACTCCAGGTTCTTCATTGAATCCGAAAAGACTATCGATATCTAGAAATCATCCCCCTACTTATCAACACACATTATCGATCTCAGTTGATGTACATATTTATGGTTCCATCTGAGACTCGAGTAGTGCAGGCTGAGGCTCGCTCAGTCGAGTTGTTCGAGTTGCGCGTTTGTTCGCGTCGTAGTGTCGGTCGCATCGTGTGATGGGAAGGCAGCGCTCCCGGAGCAAGCTCCGAAAGTGGAGAACAGTGGTGAAGGTAGCTCGTGCGTACCTATCACAAATAGGTACGCTACTCTTCCCACCGATGTTGGGAATGCCCCACCAGCGGAGGTGAAGCGAACGAAGAAAAGGAAGAAGAATCAGGGCCAGTCCGACGGTGCGAGTGGCCGCGACACCGTGACGGAAGTCAGCAACATCGGTGATTTCGGCGTTACCGTCGATGATGAAAATTCTGCCGTCCCGAGTGCTCCACTGGTAGTGATGAAAGTGACACTCAGCACGCTCATTGGATCTCACATCGCTGGGCGTTGCAGCTAAATGCAAGCTGAGCAGGATCGGCACCAAGCTGATGCTGTGTACCAAAGCGGAGTATGAAGCAACCGTGAAGTACCTGAAGGAATCCAGGGCGGAATACTTTACACATGACAACCCCGGTGAGAAGCCCTTCAAGGTAGTCATCAGGGGCTTACCTAACTTCGGCCCTAAGTTGATCGAAGAAGAACTCAAGGGCCGTTACAAGCTAGCCCCAATCGCAGTCTTCCGGATGACGAGGCGAGACGAAAACGTGAAAACGAACCCGGATTACCTTTTCCTGGTGCATTTTCAGAAGGGTACGGTGACGCTCAATGCGTTGAAGGCCATCCGCTCCATACCGTGGCGGCCGTCACGACATCACCCAGTGTCAGCGTTGCCTGTATTTAGGGCACGGCACCCGAAACTGCTACATCAAACCGCGCTGTGGAAAATGCGCCCAAAACCATGTCTCCTCCGAGTGCGTTGTCGACGAGTCGGAAACGTGCAAAAGCGCCAACTGTAGTAGAGCTCATCAAGGGTCCGAAAACAGTGCCGCAAACGCGAGGATTTCAAGCGGATCCAAAAGCAGGCGTCCACAAGAAGCCAACCAGGACAGAAGAAAGAAAACACTCCGGCATTCAGGGTGGAGGACTTCCTGCCACTTTGTGCTACGCAACACGGTCAAGCAAATCCACGGGTGCAATCCGGCCCCCGTCAAGAAACGTCTGTTGCCTCACCTGGACAAAGCTCTCCATCCCCTGGATTCTGGAGACAACTCGATCCCGATCTCTTCTCTGCGGATGAGCTGATGAAGATTTTCGTTGACATGACCAGCGCTCTTCGTCAGTACCGCAATAAGCCCGAACAAATCCAAGTGCTCGTTCTCATTCAGTATGGCGTCTAAACCATTAGCTATCGTCACTTGGAACGCTTCCTCTCTGCGAGCTAAAAATTTCGAGCTTGCTCACTTCCTCCGCAAGCACAATATCGCCATGGGCCTCCTAACAGAGACCCATCTCAAATCCGGCGACAGCTTTTGGTTGCCTGATCACAACACTATCCAACTTGATCGCACCGACTCCAGGGGGTGGTGTTGCCGTCATCATCAAGAAGGGGATCAAGTTTCACACCCTGCCCAACATCCGCACTTCTATCATCGAGGCCCTTAGTGTGGAGCTGGAATCACCAACCGGAAACGTCCTGTTCATAGGCGTGTATTGTCCTCGCCAGTGTGCGACCAGTAACGGACTAATGATGAAACTCAAGAACGACCTCACCACTATCACTCGCACGAGCTCCCGATTCATTGTTGGGGGCGATCTGAATGTTCGTCACGAAGCATGGCGCAACTACCAATGGAACCAGAACGGTAGCCTATTATTTGACCACTCGCAGCATGGGCTGTATATAGTGAAATTTCCGAATGAACCGACATTCATCTCTCCGACGAGAAACCTTTCCAAGCCGGTGGCAATCAACGATT